ACCTTGAAATGTTGTCTCAAACAACCCTGCATGAGGATCAGTTGGTACGATGGCTCAAGGCGGAGTGGTTTAATGGACTACACCATCTGGGTATTAGCAAGGAACCTAAACTGAAATGCTACTCCTGGTGGCTGAGAGTGGGACTGAGTTGTTGTGTTTTCACTGACCAACATGTATCTATTTTTGTTTGATTAATCATGTGCTGTCAAAATATATACACTAACTGTTCATTCATTAATTAGTGCAATTAGATAAACATTTTTAATGCATTGTAAAGCATGGGCTGAATGACACACACTGTTCCGTCCACGCTGCTCTAATACACGGTCGATACAGACCTTGTTATTTACACACACCGTGGGAAAGAAGTTTTGTGTCATGAAGCAGATTGATCATAAAATACCATCTCAATGTCCAGCAGGTCTTTGCCGAGGCTTCAGTTTCAGGTCAGACGCCCAGTTTGTGTCAAACAACTGACTGATACAGTTACCAAATCGACTGCCAGGGACTGTGGACTGATCATTAACGTTGAGGACGACCTACTGAAAGCACTTCCACACGTTATATAAGACACTCAAATCCACCACCAACTCCACAAAGCTAAACACTGGGTCATATTTTAATGTAACTTTTCCACATTCAAAATTAATTTTTTTTGATGAGTTACAATTAAAACCAAGTATGAAAGCTGTTGTCATTTTTTAAATCACTGCTCAAGCAATATATAGAAAATATGATATATTTCAGGATGTTGATTTATCCTGACAATTTATACCCAGCAATAAGAAATGAATATCTGAATATATCACAGGCAAAGAAGGTGAGACAGAGGCAAGTTTACAGCTAGGTCCTATTTCATCCTTGGTATTTAGCATTCAGTGTTGTGTTTAGGACCTTACTTTTGGAGGATGCTCCTTTTTTTAACCGAATCTCTTATTGTTTTTTTTTACTACTTGTTTAGAACACTTTAATAGCTTTACTTTTTAATCTGTATCTTATTTCCTGTTCGCTGTGAGTCCAGGAGAGTTACCAGCCTGTAGATTTCAGCAACTTGGCAGGTGTGAGTGTGTGGGTGACTGTGAATAGAATGTACTGTAAAGTGGTCCTCCAAGCTGGGAGAGCACCACATTAGAACAGATTGTTTAACACTTATCTTTCACAAAGGCACGCTGCACCTTGCAGGTAAAAACCTGCACTGACTGTTGTGCTTTTGTGCAAAAGTTTATGGGCTCACGATCGTGTTTATTTATGTGAAGCTGTGTTTGTTCAGGTAAACATGTGTTTCCATTGGAGACCCTCTGTAAATAAAGGCGTGAACTGATGCCGTGGCGTGAGTCGGAGGCGTAATCCACTCAGACAATTGGCCTTTTTTTTGATTCCTTTATAGTCTGAGTTCACCACCGGCAGAAGTCTTTCCCAGTCAATGAAAGCACAGGTTTTTTCGGAAGGTGTACATGTCCCACAGGCTGTAGACCGCACACAGACACTGCACTTCCTCCGCTGCACACCATTAACCCCCTGCCCACGCCCACACACCACACATGGCTGTAATAAGAACAACAAATTAAGCCATTATTCTGTTCTTAAGGTACACAGACATCCGTGTTTAAATATTTTAAGAGCAGCGAGGGATCTCTCAGCCCGAGCTCTGCTGCATGTCTGAGACCACCAGGGAAATTACTGCGCATTCATCTTATGATTGGAGAGCCATAGGTGATTTGTATGATACAAAAGTGCACCTTTGCAAATCTACCATGAAGCTGGGCCTTCATTATAGAGATCTGCTGTGGGTCTTCTTTCTGTCATGAATGATCGCCATCGTGACGTTTCATGTCATATTTCTATGTCAAACCATTTCTTCAGGATGTACCGAGCGGGACATATATTATTGCTACAGTACTACAGCACAAGCTAGGGTATTTGGCACTGCGTGTAGCGTGTACCCAAGGCAAAGACGGTGACTTCATCCAGATCTAATGGTGGCATGGAAGTGCATGTTCACCCCCTCCTCTGAATACAGTTTAAGAGCAACACCTATTAAACTCCATTATGCTGCTGCTGCTGCAGTAATGGGCTGAGCAAAGTACTGCATGGGCTAACAAAAGCACAAGTGTCTTGTGAACCCTTCAGGGAACTTTCTAATTAAGTACTCGCAGCTAAACTCCAGTAAGGATCTCGAGCTTTTCCTACATGTCATATTTTTCTCCGTACCTGGGGCTATGAACCCAAGCCAGAAATTGGGAGTCCATTGTGAGGAATTCAGTTAGAATGGTTTTAATAGTTTTCCATGCAGAATTGTTTTTCCAAGCTACCGTTAAACTGGAAGGCTAAAGGGAAAGGGCTTCCCTGGGTTGCTGGCAAGCTTTATCAGGGCCATATGTGAGGACTTTTGCAAAAACCTGTTAATGCTACATATTTGATGAGTTGTGCTAAATAGATGCCAGACGATATGACCCATGTGCCTGTGCTGGAATAAATAAATGATGTGGCCGGGGATTTTGTGTTAAATAAAATGTGTGCTCTGCTGGAAGATAGTGAAAGAGGAAATTGCTAAAGGAAGAGTGCAGAGGAATCAGCATTTTACACAGTCCTCTAGGTCTCTTTACAGCTATGATAGCAGATGGTATATGAGCAATTTATCCGATACTTTGTAAAAGCAGCATTTTTATAAAAAGGGGGCTTTCCCGGATTTTTTTTACCCCAACTTCTGTCTGCCAGAGAAAACAGGTGTGAAATGTACACCGAGATTGAATATACAGTCCAGTCGTGAGGGTTACAAACCTCAGATTAACTCTCAGGAAGCTGTTAAAGATAAGGCCAGTCCAGAGCCTACTGTCATTGGTCCATAGACCTGGGCCCTTATTTTGAAACTCAGGTTAGGTCATCTGTGCCACTGTAACA